CGGGAACTATGGAAACAAAAAAGGGCCCCAGACTCTGTACTGAAGCGTGTCTTAACCATCCAGTTTGTTCTGAGTGTCCCGACTGAACTTGCCACGTTGTGCCTATCCAGTCGCACTGTTCGTTATGCATTGGGTTGTCTTTCGGGGCTTCTTCTACGACTGGATTCGGGTTACCAACCAGGCGCGCTATCCCGCCACCGCGCTATAGCATGGCATAGCACCGCATGGGTCCCCACAAAGTGGGGACCCCTATGCGCGCGTTGCCTTTTACCTCTACTTGCCCCATGCCTTTCCCGCCACCGTGCTATGGCATGGCATAGCTCGGCATGGGTTCCCCAAAAGGTGGGGACTCCTATGTGCGCGGTGTCTTTTACTCCTTCCTATCCCAGGCCTATCCCGCCACCGGACTATAGCATGGCATAGCACATCATGGGTCCCCAAAAGTAGGGTTCTCCCGCCGGACCCGACCCGTCCCGTCCGTTGGGGTCCGCCTGCCCGACTCTTCCCGCCCGTTAGAGCACTCGCGTGCCAACTGGATCGCACATCAGTCGTCGCCGTCGTCGTCGTCGTCGTCGTCGTCGTCGTCGACGTTGTATTCGATGTGGTTATAACGAGGGGAGAGATGATCTTTATGGTGGGGTGGCTTGCGGGTGGGAGTGACGGCCACCGCAGGTGGGTTCGCGGTCAAGGTGTAATCGTGGCCAAGCCTGGTAGACCGTTAACCTTAATCCTTAACCCCATTAATCCTTAACAAAACCCGTCCACCCCCCAGACGATATCCAACATCCTTGCTCCTTGCCCACTTACCGAGCGCCAAGCGACCGAGCGCCCCCTGCCCCCCTGGCATCTGTCCAGGCGAACCGCATCACTAGTCCGTTTGCGCCGTCTACTGTCAAACGCTGCCGCGTGGTTCTGGATATAGAATGATGACGCTCCAAAACTGTTCGCGCGGTTTTGGTCGGACTTTGGCGATGCTCAAAGAATGCTCGCGCGGTTTTGGCAGCATTGCGAAGGTGTTCGCAAAAGGCCGAGCACCCCGGAAGCGTCTTCAACGCGTCCCAGAACCGCGCGAGCATTTTTTGGAACATCGTCAAAATTCAACCGAAACCGAAGAGCATGTTTTGGAGCATCGTCAAACTTCAACCGAAACCGAAGAGCATTGTTTAAAAGCATCGTCAGAATTCAACCGAAACCGAAGGGCATCGTTGGAGCATCGTCAACATTCAACCGAAACCGAAGAACATGTTTGGAGCATCGTCAGAATTCATCCGGAACCGAAGAGCACGTTTTGGAACGTCGTCAAAATTCAACCGAAACCGAAGCATGTTTTGGAGCGTCGTCAAAATTCAACCGAAACCGAAGAGCATTTTTTGGGGCATCGTCAAAATGCAACCGAAACAGAAGAGCACGTTTGGAGCATCGTCAAAATTCAACCAGAACCGAAGAGCATTTTTTGGAGCATCGTCAAAATTCAACCGAAACCGAAGAGCATGTTTTGGAGCGTCGTCAAAATGCAACCGAAAGCGAAGAGCATTTTTTGGGGCATCGTCAAAATTCAACCGAAACCGAAGAGTATTGGAGCATCGTCAAAATTCAACCGAAACCGAAGAGCATTTTTGGAGCATCTGCCTCAAAAACCGAAGAGCACTTTTGGAGCATAAATGATGATTTCAACATATCCCAGATATGAGCTCAGCGGTGCATCTTAATGTTGACGGCCCAGGGGCATGGGCGACCGTCACTACTGCGGCCCTTGGGGGCTCGCGTCCTGGTGCCACGCTGTGACAGAAGTCGATGCTTCTCCGTGACTGTTGGCCAGTCCACACGGAGCCGGTGGTCGGCTTCCATTTTGTAGGCGTCGTAGCCTGCTTCTCCCCATGCCCGTAGACAGTCTTCACATAGTTGAGCGGTGTTCTTCTTGGGGTCGGATTTGAAATTGGCCCGCGCGCCCCCATGCTTGCTGCCTTCCTTACGGACCCACGCAGCCCATATCCCATTGAATGCGCCTCCCAGCATCTTCTGAAGCCTGATGATTTTGTCTGAAGCTGGCTCGTCACCTTTTGTTTCGCACTCGTGCACGGGCTTCATGTACATGGGGGGCCCGCCCATGGGGTCGTCCGGGCGCGCGGGCGGGGGGGGTGCGGCCTGGGGGTCGGGCCGTCGATCCGAGCTGCGGCTCTGCCAAAGCGGGCTTAGTGGCGGGCGTGGATCCCGCTCAATCGTGGCGTCCTCGGGTATAGAGCGCGTTCGGGACTCTAACCTGCTCCCCACTCCCCTAAGATCCCTGCCGTCTCCGATCTCTTCCTGGAGTAAACGGGAGCGGGCAGTAGCGAAAGGCGCCCAAGCTGCTGACTCGTTCCTTTGCGGAGGCTGGGACCACAGGGCTGGCCGGCTGTGGGTTTGCGTCGCTGTCGCCTGGGTCAGGGATGTCGGCCTCGTCTGACTGTTGCGAGGGACTGGACACCAAAATGACGGTCCTGTCTGGTGAGGTCCCCGGAGCCCGTGCATCTGGGTCCGGTTCCTTGTTGTCATCATCCCAGTCGACTTCGTCTTCGCCGTACCCGTTTCCGCATCTGTGCGGGGATGGCACTTCCCTACCTTCTCTGTCCGACTGTGCCGGCACATCAGGTTGCGTGGGGGGGACAGAGTCGGGAGGGCACTCAGCTTTGGCCGCCAGGGGCTTGTTGTGCCAAGCCGCCGCGGGGGACCCGTCGTCCTCCTCGCTGCCGGACTTCCCAATGTTGCGCTCGCCGGCAAGGGCCTTTATTGTACCTACAGAGAGGTCGTCCCTCATTTGGGCTAGAAAGCGGGTTAGTGTGTCCAGCGGTTGGCGCTGGGGGCACTGTCCTTTCTGGTCGTCGAGCTTGTCGGCAAAAGACCGCCATGCCTCCTGGTACTTCTGGTTCCTCTCAACCAGGTTTGTGATGACATTTGCCGCTGCTGCCCTCTTTCCGTCCCAGGGATGAGGGGGGGGGGGGGGGGGGGGCATTCCTGGGGATCTCCTCCCCGTAAATGGAGTCCAGGAAGCGCCGTAAGTGTTCTAGTGACCATCCCGACTCGTCAGTCACGTCACCTACTACCTCCCTGCCCCATCGCTGCGCGTGGGCCGTCCATCGGGTGTAGACCGTATGGTTCCACTCAATCAGAAACTTGACCAGTTCGCGGACGGGTCCACTCGACTGCTCACCAGCAAGGCGGTGGGTGGAGTACGTGGGTAGTAGGGGTGCCATGGGTGGTGGGAGAGCTGGAAGAATGTACCTGTGGGTGCTGTCGTTGCCCGGGTCTCCCTCTATGCGATTGGTGCGTCCTGAAAGGCTGTCGTGTTTTGTTGGTGGTGAGCTGTGGCCAGCCCCAGGCGCTGGGCTGACGGGGGAAAGATGAGCTGACATGTCGTAGATGGCCCATTCCTCAGAGTTCTCGCTAATGGCAGGCCTCTTGGTGGGGGAGGCGGGATATACCTCGTTCGAACATAGGTCAAGCACACGGTCGAGGACGCTGGGAGCCATATCCCAGATGTACACCAGGCACCTCCTGCAGGCCCAACTGGCGTTCCACTGCCTTTTGATCCACAACGACGGCATCGCGCCCCACGCTGGGAAACCTGTCTTCTCGTTGCAATCGGCATCCTCCTCTGGACGCCATATGAAGCACCCCAGTGCGGGCGAGCCAGGTGCCCATTCGAGCTGGGGGGAATGGGGGGGACAGAAGTCGCACGCGGCAGAATACCAATTGCTCAGGTGCACTTCGGTGCCGAACCTGCGGTCTGCGAGCCTGTGTGGCGGAAGCGTGGTGCCAGCGCTGGCCGGGCGGTGGTGGCGTGGCGTACGACGGGGAAGCCCTCTGAGGGAGGTCAAGGCCGCTGTGCTCGCTGGCGCTCCGAACCCCAGCGGCAGCCTGGACAGGGAGGGAAGGGTCCTAGCCCTTTTCTGTGCATGGTTGTCCTCTACCCTGCGTTTATGCTCTTGTAGTAACCACTGCATGGACTTCTTGCCGCTACGCTCCGAGGGGTCCGGTTCGGGGAGGGGAATACCTTTCTTCTCCAATGAGATGATCCAACAGTGCTCGCAGAGCCATCTGCAGTTCTTCCCCTCTGTATATACCTGCGCGCGGTTCTGGGCAAGTAGCTCCCGTGTATAGACGTCTTCCCAGGTGCCTGCTGTGGCGTGCAGTCCCACGTGGAAGCACCCGTCGCAATTGTAGGAGGCGTCCTTCTGCCGCCTGCTGAAGCGCTCATCGCGCACGACAGGGGGGACCAATGCAATACCTGGATGGTTGGGTTACGCGAAGCATCTAGAATTATTCCCATCGAATGTAATAGTTGTCATTTGGCCTGGTATCTCGATGCGAGCTTGAATCTGGCTCGTGAGCTGAACACGAAGGGTCGTGAAACACGAGCAAGGATAGTCGGATCCTTTACCCGAGTGTTCACCCGCCTCCGAAAACCAAGCGGCCCATTCTAGGCCCCCAGGCGCCCCCAAGAGGACATCAGAGGCCCCCAAGAAGCCCCTAGGACCCGGGCGGCCCTCACGATGCCCAAAGAGGGCCCCCGGGAGGCCTCATCTTCCTCCACTTCCTGTTCCTCTTCCTCCTCTTTGCCCTCCTTCTCCCCCCCATAGGCCCCCAAGAAGCCCCCAAAAGGCCCAAGAGAGGCCACAAGGAGGCCCCAAGCAATCTCCAGGAGTCCTTCAATGAGCCACCAGAGTGCCCCCGAGAGGCATCCAAAGAGAACCCGCGAGGCATGCAAAACGCACCAGGCCCAAGACCTCGGCAAAATGGCGGCATGCACCGACGCAACGTCGGCGGGTACGTGTTCCGTCACGCGACAGCTTAGGGAACGACCGCGACCCACCTTTCTCAGCCCCCGTGAGCACGCAAGCAAGTGCCAACGATGATACGATGCAGTCCAGCGGAATGAGCGAAGCGCTTGAATAAGATGAGACTGTGAGGAATATCGCCGGACAGTGGTGTGACCCGATCTAAACGAGCTGCTGACCTCCGAGCTAAACGATCTCCAGACTGCGTCGCACGACGGCTTTCTTTCTCAGGGTCTGCTCGAATAGCCTAAGGACCACGGCTTCGTCCCCACTGCACGTAAAATGCGTGCGTTGAAATGCCTTGCGGAACCCTTTCACCGTGTTCGCCTTCAGGTCGCTCGCGATTCCGCACAGCCTCTCGACGTCGGGGTCCACCTCCCGATTGCCGATGTTGCCGAAGCTGTAAGCGAGGCAGAACTCGAGAAAGCACCAGCCCCGCGACATGTAGTCCTGCCCTGCCGCCAGCCTGCCACTCATGGGCAGCACTATCACGCGCACGCCCGCCACGCTGTAAAGCTTCTCGAACGAGCCGAGCGCCCTCTTGAACAGGAGCTCCTCGGCCTCCGTGCGGACCGCCGGGTGCTCGCCGGGCTTGGGCCACCTGCTCTCGCCGTCCAGCCGCTGCAGGTCCGGGTCCTGCGCGTCGTGCTGGGGAAGCCCCATGTAGTCAACAAATACGGCTTCGTGGTCAGAGGCACCAAGAAGGTTCAGCTGCTCGACTAGCTTCTGCAGCTTCTCTCCTCCAGGGTCTGGGTGGGCCGGCGACATCCACGGGTGAGACACCACGTACCTGGGCTTCTGCTGATCCCTCGAACACGGGAAGCCCTCGCTGCCGACAACCGCCTCGACATCAGGGACCTGTGAGAACGATGATGGAGATGAGCGTGGGGAGTTGGAGGAGCAAGAGCAGGGAGAGGGAGCAGTAGGGTGGGAGGAGGAAGAACATCAGGAGGAGAGCGACCTCCTGGCAACGAACCATCTGAGAACCCAATCCGGCCAAACGTCGCAGATACCCGACTCGGACCCACTTCACGCGGGCCTCGTCTAGATAGGCTAGAAACTCCAGGTAGAGCCCCTGCAGCTCCTCTGCGTTGTAGGTGTTGATGCCCTTGAAAGACATCACCGCCAGCAGCCGCAGCGACTGCGGCCCAGCGAGACCGGAGAGGAAAACTGCCTGCAGGTAGAACACGACGCCGGCGGCGTGGACCCGAGGCCACGAGCCACTGTCCACAAAATAAACCATGAACTCCAATAGGGTCAGCAGACAGGACGCCGCCACCAGCGCGGCCGTCCCGCGCAGCCAGCAGGCCTCCCGCGGTCACCCGGAGCGCACGTGGCTCGCCGCGGAGGCCAGCAGGCCGTAGGCACCACAACAAGACACCCCCATGAAATTAAGTCCGACCATCAAGAAGCCCGCAGCCGGCGCCGCACTCTGGATGTCCGAGATAGAACCGCCGACGATAAACAGCGTCGCGGACACGACTGCCGACGTGCACGTCACGAGGTTCATGATGTGGCTTGCCTGCGCCAGCCGACGGCTCCCGAGAGCGCGCATCTTGAGCCCGATCAGGTGGCATGGCTGGGGGGCGGAAAGATACGGATACGTGTTGTCCCCGGACCTCTCTTGGGGTGCGTTCTGACCAGAATTTCGAGGCGAATCCAGCGGTGACAACGAGGATTCCCCAGGAGGACCAGGAAAGGCCGAAAACGAAGGGGGACAACACGTATCCGTATCTTTTTCTCCCCCGACATGGGATGAGGTAGATCACCAACGAGGCCACAATGAAGATCCAGTACGTGGCCCACTGCCACGCCACGCCCGCCGCGCCGTGGCACCCGAGGTCCAGGGCCGGCCAGGCGAGCAGGGCCGCCGCGCACGCGCCGCGTCCACGCGTGCAGCGGCACGGCGCGGTAGCGCCTGTGCACCGCGACGCACCAGGCCGCAAAGGCCAGGCTCGCGGGCGCGGAGACCACGTACAGCGGCCAGAACTCTGCCCAGTCCTGGCGGCCGGTGTGCGAGGTGCTCCTCCAGCACGGACGCGTCAAGGCCAAATGGTTCGCCACGGGGCCGCCGAGCGCGAGCAGAGCCAGGGCGGCCATGGAGAGCGCGACGGCACGGCGGCTGGACGAGCTCTCGCGCGCCCCCTCGTCGCTGCCGGCCTCGCCCTGCCCGCCTGAGTGCCGCCCGAGTGGGGCCAGAGACGCTGGGGTCGGTGGATCGCGCCGCATCGGCGACGCATCGGTGATGTACTGGCGCGTCGCAGTGGAGAAGATATAGGGTCACCTCCCGCCCTGCCCAGACTCGCTCAAAATCGGTCCCTGGGTCCATCATGACCCGCTCTCCGAGGCGGGTCCAGCCGTGGCGTCGGGAGACCTCCAGGAGGCCCAAACGACGCCAGGGAGCGCCGCCGCTGTCTCTCGACTGGCCGCACATCGCCGACGCGGCGCGATCCTCCGGCCCCCTCCGCTTCGGACCCACCTGGGCGGCCCGGGCCGCCAGGCAGGGCACCCCTCCTGGAGTCGGGCCGCACGCTGCCGCGGGGGCCCGCCTGCTGGCCGGGGCCCGTCGAGCTGGGCGGCGCGGCGGCGGCGGCCTGGGCTGGACAGGGCGCTCCTTCTGCGAGGCGGGGCATCTGCCGCCGCCTGGGGGAGCCGTCTGCGGGGACCGCGGCAGGCGGTGGGTGTGGGCGTGGGCGTGGGCGTGGGCGTGGGCCCGAACATTACCCGGCCCCGCCGCCTGCCGAGGCCCCGAAGATGGATGCCCCAGGCGGTGGTCACGGATACAAGCCCCGTCCTCGGACAGGAGCCCCCTCTCCTAGCTCTCCGTCCTCCCTCCGGCCGTAGACGTCGAGGTGGGGCACAGGCCCAGAGGTGGGGCCAAAGGATATTTTCGCCCTGGACGGCACCAGGGGGACGGAAACATCAGCTTGGAGCTGGATTCGCTCCCTACCCAAACCTTTGGCTGACCCTCCCTCCACGCGCCCTCGGCTCGGCAGAGCACCCTTCGGTGGAGACGGCCCGGGGGCCAAACTCCGCGTGCGCGGGCCCGCAAAAGTGGCGGCTGGCACCGCTGTGCCCAGAGGCCCACAAAGAGCACACACACTCCCAACGGGCGGAGTCGCCAGGCGATCTGGCAAGGTGGCTCGCCAAGACATCCGACGACGCGACTCTTGCAACGCGCGGCCCCATGGCAGAGGTCCCGACCCCTTCTCCCCACCGAACAACGCGTCGTCCCGGATCCGTTTCTGATGGTTCCGGGGCCGGATCACGGGCGCCAGCGGCCACAAATGAGGGGAAACCGCCGGGACTGGGAAGCCCACATCGTCGGAGATCTGGGGCGGGGGGGTTCTCAATCCACACCTGATCGGTTGGGGACGGAGGTGGTCTGGTGTTGCTGCTTCCTCGCAGCAGCACCGTCCATAGATGTTTGTCTCGAGTTTGTTTTTGCAGTGCACGCGCGGCGCGGGCAAGCGCGCGACAGTCGATGCTCACAATGTGTCCCGATCCCCGCCACGGATGTGACTCTGTGGCGGCGCCGCCATGCACACTACGGTCCAAAACGTGTGAATATTGTTGCCAGCGAGGACCCCGAAGAGTGATGTCTTGCATTCTATGCTGTGCAACCTAGGTGGTGAAATCAAGGTGGTGCAATCTAGGTGGTGCAATTAATTTTTGTTCGCAGTGAACTGCCCACTCCACTGCTCGCGCAAACATCCCACCCACCCACCCGCAACTTGGTTTGCAAAATCTCTTAAGACCGTGACGGTGGGTACCAAATGGCACTTGGCAACGACAGCGACAACGACGACGACGACGCCGCCGACAATGACTACGACGACCCCGACGACGTCTCCAACGACTTCGACGACGCCGACAACGACGACGACGACGACGACGACACCGACGACGTCTCCAACGACTTCGACGACGCCGACGACGACGCCGACGCCCGCGACGACGACGACGACGATGACAACGACGACGACGACGACGCCGACGACGACGACGACGACACCGACGACGACGACGTCAACGACGCCGACAGCGACGACGACGACGACGGCGACGTCGGCGACGACGACGACGACGACGGCGACGTCGGCGACGACGACGACGCCGACGTCGACGACGACAAAAACGACGACGACGCCGACGCCGACGACGAAGACGACGACGACGTCGCCAGCGAAGACGACGACGAGGGAGGAGGGAGGACGACGACGGCGACAACGACGACAACGACGACAACGACGAGGGAGGAGGGAGGACGGCGACGACGCGAACGACGAAGGAGGAAGGACGGCGACGCCGACGACGACAACGACGAGGGAGGAGGGAAGACGACAAGCGAGCACATCGGAAGACGTGCCGAGTTCAGGTACAGGGATTAAATGAGCAGCTGGAAAAAGGAGAGATGCACAATCTATCACATAACAATGACTATACCAACGCACATGCAATCAGCAAAGTCGAGCGAGGGGGATGCGACATCACCGACGCTTAGCTCCAGGTCCATACGACCTGTGCTGCATCAAAGCCAAACGAGTTGTCACAGAAACTAGGATAAGGAAATGAGACCGAGCCACTGCGCAGCCTCGTCGGCTACGTCGAGGGGTCGGGGAACGGGGATAGCGGGATTACCTCGCGCCCTCGGGTGGACCCCCGACATAAAGTTATCTCTGCGCCATTTGCGCTGACGACCATCCTGAAGCTGATCAGGGTCACAGACGTCAAACAGCTGTGAGCGGCTGTCTCTGGCAGAGTACGCTCCGCACCTGCTGCGGCCTACAATGTCCTGGGAAATATACAACCTATGCCCGCGGGCGCTCCTCGGCGGGACGGGACCAGACGGAGGCAACGGGGCCTCGGGCGGGACCGCGTGGCACCTGCCGAGAGGTTGGCGCCCACGGGCGCGCTTCTTCGAGCCAACTTCCACGGCTCCCCTAAGGACCTCCGCGGGCCCAGGGGGAGGCTCCAGGACGGGGGCGAAAGTCACTCGAGGGCGCACCGCTCTCACAAATTCAAGGCATTCCTGAGACTCCTGACCCCGATCAAGGCGGACCAGAGAGGGGGAAGCAAGCGTAGGGTGTAAACAGCTAGGCGCATCTTCGCGTCGGGCTCTGACAGACAGACCTATCTCCTACCAAAGGGACTCGATCCCGAGCCCTCTTGATGCCAGATCCTGAGCTTCCCGAGGTGGGGGGCGGGGTCGGGGGGGCACGGCGCGGCTGCACACTGCACGGTAACGCGCACATCCTCCGCTTCCCCGCCCAGGACCTGGCCATCTTAGGGCACCTACTACATTTCCAACCTCCCTTATATAAGATGGGGGTGTGCGGAACGGCGCCTAAGGCTAAGTCAGGATGCAACTTCTTTTCCGCACTCCGCTTCGGCACGGCCGACTTCGAGTAAGCCTTGCGGCCAATCGTGTCAACCCTGTCCGGCGGCACATCCCCAGGGAACGACTGCGAGTTGGCGGTCCACGCGGCCACTTGCCTCAGCTCCTCAAGGAGCTGCTTGTGCCTCTCCACAACCGCCGCTGGTAAATCGTGCTTCTTGAGACCGCGCTTGGCCGCAAAGTCAGCCCAATCATTGCCAGCCTTGTCGAGCCTACCTTGGGTGCCGATGTCCGTCTGATGAGACCGAATCCACGTGATGCGCAATGATTCAGAGAGACCGCCTTGGTCCTGCACCAGATGCCAGAACAGCTTCCAGAGGTCCAGGTGTTCACGACGGACATGCAAGCACCAAGCGGGTCCCTTGCGCATGGCATCCACAACGTTCAAGCAGTCAGACTTGATGTTGAGGGGGAGAATCCCGTGCTTCAGGACCTGTATGATAGCGTACAGCTCCGCTCTCGGCACACTCTGCTCATGGCCTGGAGGCGGCCCGAACGCCAGGCCCTTGCACCGATGCCGCTGCATGACGGCGAACCCCCAGCCAGCGCGGTTCGCCTCGGGCCAGGCGATCAGCGTTCGCCCCGACCCGTCCGTGAAAACATCGCCTGATATGGCCAGGCCACTCTCCCATCGGTCGTAGTACCATTGGTCTGTCATGACAGGTGGTGGCACTGGTGGGAGACATGCTCGGGATATCAAGGCACGCGTGAAAACAAATCGTTGACGGGGGCTGCCTGTGCTCTGTGGATGGTGTCTTGCTCCACGGCGTCCACGCAGTGACGACGCAGAAGCGGGCACTCCCAAAACCTGTGGTGGAGGGTCCCGTCATATCCCTCACCGCACACCTGACAGTAGTCCATGTCAGAGAAGCCGTACTTGGCCAAGCGCTTCTGCGTCCACTGGCCCCCAATCACTGTGGAGCGCAACGCGCCGACAGCAATGTCGTTCAGCTTCCACAACTTGGCAGTGGGCGGGGCCCGCAGCATCATACGGATAGGCTCCAGCCAGTAGCCGCTAGAGTCTCTCACTGCAGAAGTTGTTTCAGGTGCAACGTCGGATCCGCGAGCCCATTGTTCCCACTTGACATTGACGTACGCTCTCCGAGCAACCTTTCTGACCCATGCAGGTGCGTGTAGCGTGAGGTCGAGCACGATGCCCGTGCCTGTGGTCCAGCTTGAGAAACTCGAATACCTCCAGTTCAATTTCTTGAGGCAGGTGATGACCGCCCCTGCAGGACCAGCAATTAGCTTCCAAGGGGCTCGCGTTCCACTTAGTAGCCGATCCTGTCTTTCCCGCGCCGTCTGAAGGACACGATGGGGCACCACGCCGTCCATCACAAGCTGGGCCCATGTGAACAAAGGTTCGACCGTGGCAATGCATTCTGGCTGCAAATGCGGTGGCGGCTCCAGCTGTGATGCCAACCACGTTGACGTAGCTGATGGGGTCTTGCCCCATCCCGCGCGTGCCACCTTGGTCATAGTGGCCACCGTCGCGGGGGGTGCACTGACGACCTGGAGGCCATACTGCATGGCTGGGCCCAGGCTGGGCGTGCCAATCTTCTTTGCCAAGGCGATGGTGCTACGGAGCCTCCTGAATCTGGGGAGCCGCTTCTTGACCTTGCGTACCCTTTTGTGCACCGTGGCATAAGTGATGGGCTTGCCTGAACGCGTCTCCATCCCCAGAATGTTGAGCGACGTGGCTACACGAAACCCGTGCCTACGGGTGCGCCGGGCCACCAGCTTCGCCACCTCCAGGTTCGAGCTGAGCACCTTGGCCTTGTCAGCTGCGATGGGCAACTCGAGGGCCAGCAGGACCGCAGCCAGGCGCTCCAGCAGTGTCACGGCCGTGTCGACGATCGTGCTGATGTGCTCCATGATCTGGACTGTGATATCGTCCGCGTGCACATCTATGGACCTGGGGATGTGCGACGTCGAGGACACAAAAACGTCGAAGGGTGTGATCATCACAAGTTGGAGAAGGTACATCGCTGCTGTGCACCCAGGGAGCACACCCTGTCCAACTATCACTGCATAAGAGTAGGTATCGGCCCACCTGATGCGCCTAGGCGCTGCATACATACTCATGCACATCTTGAGGATGACGACTGGGAACTCATGCATCTTGGCCGCCATCATGATCTTCAGCCATACCACCCTGTCGAAGCACTTACTGATGTCGATAAGGGCCGTGACAAT